GTCGTTGATTTGTCTGTATCCCCTTTTCCCCCTTTTGAATTGTTCGCCGCCCTGAGTCCTTCCCGGAGAAGGGCGGCATACAAATAATAAAAATTCAATTCAATTCAATTCAATTCACTTCCCATGAAATGCTTTATGCAGAATTGGCCTCTCTTGCCGAACCAAAATAATAATCCTATAATTCAACGATACCGATTCGTTTTCCTCCAGGTATCCCTGAAGGCGTGAAAGACCTCCCGTATGGGACAGCTTTACCTTTGGAGTCCAACCTGGTTTATCTGAACGGCGTCAGTTTCACGAAAGGCTGTTACATCGGCCAGGAGTTGACGGCTAGGACTCACCACATGGGCGTCATCCGGAAGCGGCTCCTGCCCGTTCAGCTCTCACCGCCGATGCCTTTCGAAAGCCTCGCTGAAGGTACCGAAATTGTGGCCGAATCGGGGAAATCGGCTGGAAAATTCCGCGCGGGTGAGAACGAGTTCGGAATTGCCTTGCTACGTTTGGCGGCCACGAAGGGGCCACTGCGGCTCAAAATCTCCAACGATTCACAAGTAATGGTCACAGCATCCATTCCTACATGGTGGCCTCAACCTGCCAATAAATAGCCGGTCCTTCTGCTGAATACGCCTCAAAGTTTATTGTCTTTAGATTCCTCTTCTCACAATTCTGAAAATGAGTGGCTTTGAACGGAAGAATCCTTTATGGTGGTGCCTAGTTTGACATTGATGAAAAACTTTGAAATTTTAGATCATTATTTAGGTTCCACCACAAAACCGCGGTAGACTAAAGCGCGCTCGACGAAAGCGCGTACGTGACGTCATCACAGTGCGACGAAAACAGCACGCTGTGAGCGGTAAATTTAAAATTAACGCGAAAACCTTACCCTAACCCCCCCAAACCTAACCCTAACCCTAACCCTTAACCTAACCCTAACCCTAACCCTAAACCTAACCCTTAACCTAACCCTAAACCTAATCCTAACCCTAAACCTAACCCTAACCCTAACCCTAAACCTAACCCTTACCTTTATGTGAATCAGCTTGCTTTATTTTTATTTTTATTTTATTTTAATTTATTTTTAATTTTATTTGTCGCGCTGCTGATGACGTCACGTACGCGCTTTCGTCGGGCGCGCTTTAGTCGACCACGGTTTTGACGGGTCATGATTATTTATTCTCTGACAGTAATATTGTTGTAGCTTCGTCCGATTCTTCCTCTCATCCCCCCTTTTCTTCCTTCCAGAGAAACAAAACCCTAACATTCAAGGACAGATTTTAAACTCCTGTAAGTTTTGCCCAATTTGTCTGACTCTAGATTTATGATCTTGTCTATTTTTTGATACTGGTTTCCAGTTATATCTATCAATGTGGCTCTTCCCGAGATTCCTTTCCCCTTTAGATAAGTGTTTCTCCAAATTGACAACTTTTAAGTGGTATGGTCTTCAACTGCCAGAGTTCCCCAGCCACCACGGGGAATTCTGAGAACTGAAGTTGCCAAGTTCTTAAAGTTGCCAAGTTAAAGAAATAATTCGACTTGGATTCCTTGTTTCCATCGCTTTATTTGATCGGGGAAATATTACGGGTAATCCTCAACTCACGTCCATTTGTTTAACGACTGTTCAGCGTTATGGAGCATTGAAAAAAGTGACTTATGGCTGGTCCTCATACTTACAACCACTACAATATCCCCATGGTCACAGGATCCAAATACAAGTGCTGGGCAATAGGCATTTATTTACAACTATTGCCATGCCCTGGGGTCACATGATCGCCATTTGCAAATGGCAAAAGTAGTAGCCAAAGAATTTTAAACCTCGTAGAAATTTTAAACCTATGCCGACTACTGTATAGACATGTTTGTATGTTTATTTGTATGTTTATTTCATTTGTATGCTGCCCTTTTCCCCCGAAGGGGGGACTCAGGGCGGCTCACAACTCAAACCAGGGAAGGGGGATACAGACAAATCAACGACAACACAAAACAATACATAATTTAAAACACGCAACAATCATACCATTCGAGACGGGGGCAACGGCTCTTTAGCCCCAGGCCTGTCGGAACAGCCAGGTTTTAAGGGCTTTGCGGAAGGCCTGGAGGGTGGTGAGGGTTCGAATCTCCACTGGGAGTTCGTTCCAGAGGGTCGGAGCAGCCACAGAGAAGGCTCTCCTCCGGGTAGTCGCCAGTCGGCATTGGCCGGCAGATGGTATTCGGAGGAGGCCTAGTCTGTGGGATCTAATCGGTCTAGTGGAGGTAATTGGCAGCAGGCGGTCTCTCAAGTACCCAGGTCCAATACCAAAAGAATACATTATTCTTTTGAATTCAGATTAATATTATTTGTGGCTTGATCATCCAAAATAATTATTTTCCCCACTATCCGGCCTTCCTTCTTGCCAGACGAATCCGCATAGGTAGTCCTCGACTTACAACCATTCTTTCAGTGACCATTCAAAGTTACAACTGCACTGAAAAAGATGACACCATGACCATTTCTTACATTTAGAACTTACTCCACCTCGTAGGATCCCTGCTCCAGAGACTGTCGGGTGTGAGTCCCTGCTGGTGAAGCTGGACCTTGGGGGTCAAGTGGCCTTGTTGTTAATGTACCCACCTCCCAGCTGTGTTGCAACAGCCCTGCCTTCGCTCCTGGAGTCAGTAGCTGGTTTGGCAGTTGAGTTCCCCAGACTTATAGTACTGGGGGACTTTAACCTGCCATCTCTCGGTGAATGCTCTGATGGGGCGCAGGAGTTCATGGCTTCCATGACAGCCATGGACTTGATCCAGGTAATTCAGGGTCTGACTCATACAGCGGGACACACTCTTGACCTTGTGTTTCTCTCGGGTCAGTGGAGAGGTGATCTGGAATTGAAGGGCATAAAGACCTTGCCCTTGTCATGGTCAGATCACTTCCTACTGAAGCTTGATTTTCTGAAGCTACTCCCCCACTGCAGGGAGGGGGAACTGATTAAATGGTTCTGCCCCAGGCGCCTGATGGATCCCTTGAGATTTCAGACGGAGCTTGGGGAAATACCTGACTCCCTTGCCCACAGTCCGACGGAGTCATTGGTCGCTGTTTGGAACAAAGCGACGGCTGGGGCTCTT